TCCTTACCTATTTGCTAAATAAAATTAGAATGTAACTAAATCCACACCTGGACAATAAAGCATGGCGGGGAGAGATATTTATCGCTCATTTCCGACTCGCCGTCGGTCAATTTTAGTTAAACTGATGAAATTATATATATTCTGTATTTTTTCATCTTTTGTTTCTTGAATATTTTTGTCGCTTGTATCGTAAACTTTTTTATGGTAACAAAAATCTTTCTGCAAATTTTAGATGTAACAATATAAAGATTTCCATATTGTTCACGAAGTTTCTGTTTGTTTGCTGCGCATTACAACTATTAACTTTATCAATTTCTTGATAAATATTAAATTTATATTTTTATTCACTTATTAAATGTTACCTTTTGCTTATACCATAAAGTGTCTTTCTTTTATTAAATAATCAGTAAGGTGTCTTCATCATTTTATTCAAATTATAGACTTTCATCTTATTTAAACGAAGGTTTTCGGCATAAAATATTTCCTTTATTTTGAAAAGACATGTTTTAGAGAATTAATAAAAATTATTTTTTATGGCTACTTCTAACCGATGACAAAATATCCCATGAAAAATAACCGCTAAAACAGCTTACAAAATTATAAAACTTCAAAAACTGACAGCTTTTTTAACAACTTACTATAATATACTGAATATAAATAGTGTTAATGATAACTCTTCAACCAGAAAATTCAAACAAAATTTATACTACTTTTGAAATCAGTTGTTCTCAACCTTATTTTGCCTAATGCCCCCTTTTCACCATAATTAAGAATATCATCTCCCCCCGCACTTTCCAAGATTATCCGACGGAATAAGGTTTATTCTAAATAAATTTATATATCATTGAAAATCTTTATTCTTTTCTATGTTAATGCATATACATTTACATCGGTGTTTGTCAACCTTTTTAAGCAACGGTACAAATAAATGAGCGAATGAAAATATCACAGCACACTTATCAACATTTTTGAAGTGTATACATTGAGATCTTATAAAATAAAACCATAAATTTTGAATTAAACAAAGATTGTTGAATACAATTATATGAAAAAAGGTTAATATTCATTTATTCAAATAAAGGAAATTTTTTAAAAGTTAAATTAAAAATATAAAAATCATTTTAAAAAATGAATATTAAAATACAGTAATTAAAATAAAAAAAAATAGTGCAAAGAAATATTGAAAAACAAAAGCTTACTACTTATTTATTCAAATACTACGCCTGTACGATTACTACTTCCACGCACACGCACCTAGTCGCGATGTAATGGATAGCAAGCTTGTCTTGCTAAAACAATTATGACTGAATAGTGAGTTCGATCCTCACAAAGTACTCCATACTTTCGACCTTGTGTCACATCTAAGCTTAGAAAATCGCCATATATCTATATGCATGCCGTTTCAATATTTCGCGGCACATTGAAGAGGATCGCGCGGCACACTAGTAGTGAGAATCACTGATTTGCATGCCTTATTTTTCTAGAGGAGATTTTGTTGACAATTATAATAGATTCCATATTCTGTAAATAAAAGAAAAAAAATAAAAGAATCTCTGAATTCCCCTGTTTGAGAACCTCTGCTTTAAATAGTTTAATTTAAATTTTCTGACATTTCACCTCTTTTCATTGCTGGTTTAATTATTATCATATAAATATGATGCTGTCGCTATACAATGATTTTGTTCATAAAGCAACTGGGGCAGTTCTATTTTTTTTTTTTTTTTTTTGTGAGTTCTGGATTTTCTTACTCGAGCAGTTAACTGGATAGTGATTCAAGGCAATTCGTAGACAGAGACAGCAATGTTCTGTCCTGATATCAGATATTGACACTGATAGTATTTGAGAGCCTTAAAGAAAACATTCTATTTTTTATTAACCCAGAAAAAATAGTCTCTGTTCGGACGGAAAGATTAAAAAAAAATCCCAATTGGTTAGAAGAGTAAAAGCATGCTCATTTTTAAACACCTCCAAGATTTGATTGCCGAGAATGTTCACTTCAAACTAAAAACATTGATCCCCACGAAAATTTATAAAACGTTTGAAAATTTTAGAACATTTCAGCAAAAATAAATTCTGATTTTTGGTCCCTTTGTCAGGTGAGACGAAGAATTTTTCAGAATTCCTCGTATAAAACAATAAAAGCCTTATCCCGTCCCAAGGGTTTATGATAATGGTTCACTTCAAGAAGGAACAAGCTGTCTATGAGTGGAGTTTTAGGTGAGTAGGGAGATTGTACAGGTCCACACCGACCCTCTCGACATACCTCACCAGAATTCAGTGATAACTTGAGATCCAGGCAGGCTAATAGAAGATTATCTGGAAGGAATGGCCAGACCAGTATAAGGAATGCTCTTTGAACGCTTCACGGCATTGGTGTAAATTCCGAAATTATCATTTCCCAAAAGGGCTGCTAGCAAAAGCAAGAGACCAAGATTTATTGTTTAATATGATGATAGATTCAGGTCAATTCCAAAGGAGAAAATTAAAAATCAAAATTTCAACTATTCTATCTATCTATCTATATATATATATATATATATATATATATATATATATATATATATGTTTCACAATTTGAACTCTCAACGAAGTACAGCTTAAGTCGTTACTTAAGATTTAGTTAGTAGTCTGAAACTAGAGAGCAAAACTTAAGTAGTAACTGTGGCTTGTAGAAGAAGTTGGTAAAATTCTTGTTTTTATCTGGATAGCCGAGGCGTTCAACGCGTTAATTGACTACATATGTAAGTTTTGGACTTTTTATCTTTCTTTTTTTTTTTTTTTTCATTTGTTTTTTAATTTTTTGTTGTCTAAGTTTTTAAGTATTTTACATTTTGAATTTTTGTAATATATATATATATATATATATATAATATTATATTATAAACAAAAATATATTAAAATCGCTACAAATAGCTTTCGTTTTTCGGCACTAAGTTGTGCCTCTTCAGGCGATTGTAATTATTTACCATCTCCTGAAGAGGCACAACAAAAAAAAGGTATTGTGTAGCGATTCTTAACATGATCTTCAATAATGAATAATATGAAGCTCTACTCTGTATTGAGCCATTTTTAAAATGCAACGGACATATATTATACCTGGATATATATATATATATATATATATATATATATATATATATAAAATTATATTTTCATATATATATATATATATATTTTCATGTATATATATATATATATATGAAAATATATAGAAAATAGGAAGGAACTGTTTAGGTAAATAATCCAAAGTTCCTTAGTATTTTTGTTATTATTTTTTAAAAATAGTGCTCGATACAAAAGTAGAGCATAAATATAATTATTTATTTAAAAATATGATTCCAACTCGCGAGATAAGAGGTCTCATGTTTCAAAACAAGAGCCGAAAACTTCAATATAATTATTTGAATTAAATATATATATATAATCGACTCTCCCGTCGCGTTCGACGTATGAGGGTCAGGCCGATAAGTCCCCAGGAAACCGACATCGGCACATGAGATTTGATTATAGTGGTGAAGGCCTACCCATCGCACCCGGTATAGATGTGAACTGAGATAGATAGATAGATAGATAGATAGATAGATAGATAGATAGATAGATAGATAGATATGAGTAGACATGAATAGATAGATGGGTAGATAGATTATGAATATATAGCAATCGATAGATAAATATGAAGAGACTGCAATAGATGGATATGAATAGAGAGCAATAGATAGATAGACAGACAGACAGACAGATAGATATGACAGGGCCATCATTTTATTAACGTTAATTGTAACCCCAAACATTGAACCCTCTACCTCCTGTTCCATTTCAGTCACGCAGTGTGACTATTTTCATAAAGGATTCTGCCTCTAGACCACTTTAGTTCAACATTCATCAATATTAATTATTCTTAAGAAATGACTTTTATGTATTTCTTCACCCAACTTAAACGTTTCTCTTTTTGAGGTTTATTCAAAGGTTGTATTTTGGTTACTTTCATGTCATTAGTTAATGTTCTTAATATTCTGCATCTTTTTTGTTTATATTCACATCAACAGTTTTCTTTGATTATTTTATTGGTATTCAATCTACTTGTTTTGACTGTCACTTTTTACATTTTTCTAAGATCTATTTTGATTACATTCTTTAAACAATTTTTTTTTTTTTTTTTTGTATAGCCAATTTTTTCAATTTATATTAGGATTTTCTTTTATCGCCCGTTAAGATTTTTTTTTCCAATTTTCAAAGTCTTGTTCCCATCACTTAATAAATAAATCTTCTTTCTCTTTCAGATGATTTTCTTCGTTTCATCAATGGCAATGCTTGTACACTGAAAATTAAAATTAAAACCAATCAGTATACCTACATGTATTAGAATATGATGAAGAACACATGTGTTGTGTAATAAGACTTCACACCTCCAAATAAGGTTTTGTAAATATTTATAATAAAATAAATATTAGGAGTTGAAATTGACATGCTATATATTTATCATTTATTGATATGGTAGACTGATCATTATATATGATGTATATTGATCATTATATATGATGTATATCGATCTTTCTATATCATGTATATTGATCATTCCATATGAGGTATATTGTTCATTATATTATCCTTATATATCATTTTATATTTAACAATGTTTTTTTTTTTTTTGCATTCATTAATCGGTCATATTTTCATTTATTGGTTAAATGTTATTTTTAATGGATACCCATATTTGAACAGATGTTCTGTTATTACTTATTTATTAAACAGTATATTTATTTCCACCTTCCGGCCCGAACATTCGATAAATCTTGCTAGAAAAATATGGACCTCCAGCAGGATTCGAACCTGCGTTCACTAGCAGAATCTGTCATTAGATTTTCGTGGCCGTGAGGTCAAGACACATCAGATCTATTGAGCAGATTATATATATATATATATATATATATATATATATATATATATATATATATATATATATATATATATATATATATATATATATATATATATATATA